GAAAGTTGATTTATATTCCCATCAGTGACACCTGCGTCTGTGACATCACCATATCTGACTGAGCTGTACTAAGGAAACACAAAATCCTATCAATGTCAGGCCCAGGAGTCATCAGGTATGGAGATCTTGATGGGGCAGAAACTACCCTGGGAAGAAGCACAACTGCCTCCTAAGCTAATTTCCAGGTGCCACCCAAAGAGAACACTCCTGACTCAGAGCTCCACAGTCCTCATTTCACCCCTGGCTCTTCTGACTTCATTCTGGATGTCTCAGTTGTGGCTAAAAATAGATTCTTCTTCCAAGACAAAAGGTCAGCCAACTGGAAGCACTGGGTGTTGTCTCCAAGCTTGTCAGGGCTCCGGAATGGACAAAAGGAGTGGCTTGAAGGGGGATGGCCTGGGAGTCAGGCTTGGGCCCAGTTCACTAAGTAGCCTGTAACCCTGGGCCATGGGTCTCACTCCTCTACCTTTCAATCTTATATATTTCTTTTCTTTTTTAAAAATAAATGCATCTCTACCTTTCAATCTTGTATTATTATTTTTTTTAATGAATACAATTTTTCATCAGGAAGATATCAAACCAAAAAACCAAACTCACTGCCACTGAGTTGATTCCAACTCACAGCAACCCCCATTGGGTTTCTGAGGTGGTAAACCTTTACAGAAGTAGAGTGCTTGGTCTTCCTTCCACGGAATGGCTGGTGGGTTTGAACCACCAACCTTCTGGTTAGCAGCCAAATACCTTAGGCACTGCACCCCCAGAGCTCCTAATCAACAAGATATATACTCTTAAAAAACCCCAGTACCGTTACAGACTAGTTGCACTTCATCAAGGAAGCTAAGGTTGTGGTGGACAAAACCCAAGTGTATTCCAAAGACAAACACAGAAGACTCCAGGAAGCCGGTTTTGGATTGCCTCTGCCCCACTTGCTACCTTCCTGAAAACCCATCAAAGCCCATTGGCTGGGTGGGTTCAGAGCTGCGGGCAGGTGGGCCTCACAAGCTCAGCTCACTCCCTGCAGACGCACATCTGTGGATTTCACCTTGAACTGTTCCAGGCTTAGAAACCTATGGTCTGAAGGAGTGGAGCAATCTGTCTAAGGCCTGCCCACCAAAGGTGAAAGGTAAACCTCCACCACCTTTATGTTGTAGTGCAGGAAACCTGGATGCTGTATACAATACAGGTCTTGGCTGCAGCAGGGTCTGGAGAGAAAGCAGGTGGTGAGTTCATCTTCACCACCCTTACCTCAGAGGGCAGCAGTTTCTACCCAGCGAGCCTGGTGTCTCCAGCCACGGGCACCAGCAGTGCCAGGCATTGTTGTCATTATGTGGCGCTGAGTCGCATAGCCTGGCTCAAAACGCATCAGCCATGAAGGGAGCAGGGGGGTGGGGTGGATGTATTTTTAGACTCCAGCTGCCCCAGGGACATGCATGAATCCAAGTGCAGGCCTCTCCCTTTGTTCTGTTGATTCTTTTAGATGTGGGGGAAGAGCCATGTGGGAAAGCAAGTGTCATGGAGGCTTCCTTTTCTTGAGATGGTAGGTTACCCAGCCTGCTGCATGAACCCTTGGTCTCAGCAGGGGAAATGGATGAGGCCTTTAAGAGCACTGAGGTGTAGGCACAGTCTCAGACTGGCCTTCACTTGCAGTGGAGTTGCCTGATAGGCTTTGACTCCTTGGGGAGGGTACTTAACCTCTCAGATCCTTTACAGACAAGGGGCTGTATTGGGGAAGTTGGAGGTTAAAAGCCACTGCATGTAAAATACCGGTTCCCGTGTCCCATCAGGAGCTCTGGTGGCATAGTGCCTAAAGCATTTGACTGCTAACCAGAAGGCTGGCACTTTGCACCCACCAGCCATTACTCAGAAGGAAGACTGGGCAATCTACTTCCTTAGAGATACCGCCCCAGAAACTTAAGGAGGGGTTGGTATGAGTCGGATTTGACTTGACAGCAGTGAGTGTTTCCTATTGGCAGTAGGAGGTAGGCAGGCTCTTCCTCCTCAAGCAAAAGCTGCAGAAGATGGGGTCCAACAGATGGGCCAGCCTTTCCAGTTAGCATCAGGTGAGGAAGAACCAAATCATTCCACAGAATGTTGCTAGCATGAGTGGGTCACTGAGAGAGACTTGGAAAACTCTGTGATGGTTTTATTTGTGACTTTTCGCTGCAACTGGGCTTGACTATAACCCTCCTCTCTCCAAGGAGTATGAAGTTGAAAGGAAACATCCTACTACAGGTGAGGCACCTGAGGCTCAGGGTGGTGCAGGAGGCCAGCAGAGAGCCAAGACCAGAGTCCAGGTCTGTGCTGGCCTCAAATGTCCAACCCTTTCTTTGGTACAATCTAATCCAGAAGTTCTCAGTCCTGGCACATAGAGAAATTATCTGAGGAAAGATTACGAACCTAACACTACTTCTAGTATCCAGAATATATACAGAACTATAACTCAACAACAAAGACAAGCAACCCAGTTAAACAATGGGCAAAGGATCTGAAGGCATTTTACTAAAGAAAATATTCAAATGGCCAACAAGCACATGAAAAGTTGCTTGATGTCATTAGTTATCAGGGAAGTGCAAATTAAAACCCCAAGGAGATACCACTTCATACCCCCTAGGATGGCTATAATAATGAAAAAGAAAAAAAAAAAAGTGTTGGCAAGGATGTGGGAAAAATTGGAACCCTTGTCCACTATGGATGGGAATGTAAAACAGTGTAGCCCATGTGGATGGAAAAGTATGGTGGTTCTTCAATAGGTTAAACATAGAACTACCATATGATCAGAGTCCCTAAGTGGCATTAAGTGGTTAAGTGTCCTCCTACTAGCCAAAAGGCTGTCAGTTTGAACCCACCTAGAGAGGCTTTGTAAGACCGGCCTGGAGATCTGCTTCTGAAAGGTGACAGCCCTGAAAACCCTATGCAGTAATTCTACTCTGCACACCCCATGTGTCAGAATCATCTCAATGGCAACTATCACCACCCTGTGACCCAGCAATTCCATTCCTAGGTATATACCCCAAAGAACTTGAAAACAGATGTTCAAACAAATACCTGTACATGAATGTTCGGCACTGTTTACAATAGTCAAAAGGTGGAAACAACTCAAATGTCTATCAACAGATGAATAAATAAAACACAATGTAATATATACAGAGGAGAATATTATTACAGAAAATGAAGCACTGATACAAACTACCACAAATGCAGGGCCATACCCTGCACCCACTAATTTGGATGCTCCAAGAGCAATTAGAATTTGTTAAAAATTCTCCATCTGGGACCGTAAAATGATACAATCATTGTGGAAATCAGTATGGTGATTCCTTAAAAAGTTGGAAATAGAAGTATCATTTGATCCAGCAATCCATTACTAGGTATATATCATAAAGAAGTGAGAGGCAGGACATGAGTAGATACATGCACACCTATGTTCACTGCAGGACTATTCACAATAGCAAAGAGATGGAAACTATCTAAGTACCCATCAATGGAGGAATGGATAACCTATCTATAGTACATACACACAATGGGATACTATGCAACCCTAAAGAATGATGTAGAATCTGTGCACCACCACATAACATGCATGAACTTGGAGGACATTATACTGAGTGAAATAAGTCAATCACAGGACAAATTCTGTATTAGTCTGTTATTGTAAAAAGTCAAGGAAAGGTTTATTTATGGAAGGAAACTTTGTTGGTTACTAAGGAAGGTAGGGGAGGTGAGGAAAAAAAAAGAAACTAATGATTATTAGTGGTTATTGGGGGTAAGAGAGGGAAAAGGAAAGCTTTTGTTTGTGGGGTACCGAGTCTATGCTAATGGTGGTGGAATATTTTGGAAAAGGATAGCAATAATGGTGACACAACATGAAAATTGTCTTCAATATCCTTGAGCTGTAAATGTGGAAGTTTTTAGGTTGATAAATGTTTGTTTTTTCACCACAATAAAAGTATGGAAAAATAAATCTTCACCTTGATGCCTAGCTAGGGTTACCAGCTACTGGCCTAAGACCTGAGAACAGTTCCGTTTCTTCACCAACAGTGTGACTCTGGGCTACATACACACCCACTTCCTCTTGTCTTCTAAACTACCAAATAAGGCCTGTATGGTCAAGTTTTATTCAGAGTTTTTGTGAAAGCACTGTAAGATATGACTCAACCTCTGCAAAGTGTACAGGAGGAAAGGTAATATTCTCAATCTTGCCCCACGTATCTTCTCTGTTGAGGGACAAGTGGTTTAGGAGGGAGGGAGGAAGCTTACCACAAGGATAGACAGTGGGCCCTGTCAGCAGCCCAGAGAGAGGGCAGGAACTCTCTCCAGCAGCAATGGCTGGTGTTTGGACCCATGGCTCATGCAAACATTCCTAGATATCGCACCAATACCCATCAGGGCTACCAGAATTCTTTATTCAGGTACTTGAACTGTGGGGTGCTCTGGCTGCAGCAGCCTCTAGGTGGAGGGAATAATGTTTCCTCTGTACATACTCCAGACCACCAGCCACATCCCTGCATCACACAGCCCTTTCTGAGATCACTGGGAAGAAGCTGCATCCAGGTGGTGGGAAAGGACGGCTAGGTCGCCCAGAGCCTATACAGGGAACACAAGGGCAGATGCCCATATGGAGGATGCCCTGAGCTGCATTTTCCATAGGCTTCTGCCTCTGCTCTCCTTCCTTAGCAGGGGAAGCTGCAGCTTGGTGCACCCTTCCCACCTGTAGCTGCCAGTCTCTCCCCTTTGTGCTAAACCAGCAGTCTTAGGGCCACATGGCAGCAGCTCTATGACTTCTCAGCACGGACAAAGGTCTTCCTGAGTCTGGGCAGAAGGCCACTGTCCAGTAGAGGCAGACTTCTCAGGAGTGGACCCTGTACTCCCAGACCAGGGGGGCCAGGCTCCCAAAGCCAAGGTGTTCCTCCAATTTCTGGGACGTGGTCCCTGATCCTAGTCAGACAACTCAGACATAAGGGACAGGGCAGATGAAGCGGCCTTCTCTACTGATCTTGCCCTCATCTGTTCTGAGGACAGAAGGGACGAGTGTGTCCAGGCTGGTGGCAAAGGCTGCATTTCCGGGATTTCTTTGCTGTAGACCCAGTGTCAGAAGAACTGGCCCGGAGCCTTTTGCTTCTGGCCTCTGACCCCTGGGTTTTCTCTCTGCCTCCTGGCCAGGGTATGGCTCCAAATGTCCCTGTGGGAAGAGTTGGGGAAGGATGAGTTTAGAACTGACACACTACAGCATGGACTTACAGGATGCATGTTTGGTGGAGGGAAATTTCACCCATCAGTGTGAGGTGTGTGCCACTTCACTCAAGGTGGAGTGCACCACTTCCTGCTGAGGCGTGATGTGTGCAGCACTTCCTCTCAAGCAAGGTATGAGGTGTGCCACTTCACCCTGACCTCTCTCCTTAAAGGCACTCAGCTCAGCAGGACATCCTCCCTCACCGTCCTGTCAGAAGAGCATGGGACCACTATCCAAAGGCTCATCTACAGAAGCAGCAACCAAGTCAGCAATAGGCACCCAGTCATGGGGTGAGACAGGAAAAACAGGCAGACAGACCCGCCTACATGCTCACCCCACTTCCAGGCAAAGAAGCCTGGGTTCTGGATCTTCTTAGTTCTTTAGTAGGCCTTCCTGCTCAATTACACAGCACCACCAGTTGGCTAGCCTAGTGGCCAGACACCCCTCTCTTCTTAACATGTCCGAAGTGTATAAAAGGCAGGGCTGGCTGTCTTTCACATACTTCAAATGTGGTTCCAGCACAGTGACCATTCCTGTGCTGAGGATACAGTCCCACATGGTTTAAAAGGCCATGAGGAATTAGGCAGACTTATGTTCCACTCCTGGATCTGCCACCCTGTGAGGCTAAGCAGGTTACTCCCACCTATTGGGATCTAACTTTCTTCATCTGTCAGGCTGGATAACTCTTACTGGATGAAGATGAAAGATGACAGGTATAAAATGTATCATAGCATAGTGTCAGTTACCTGCAGCGAGCCTCTACTTCAGAGGAAGGGAGTGTTGCACATTACCTTGCAGAAGGAGAGCCCAGCTGCCCCATCAGCCTCCCCACCACACTGCCTGACCTTCTCCCTGCTGTCTTTGTGGAGACTACCACAAGAACTGAGAGCTAAGGTCTGCTTGTCCCAGAGATGGGGCTAACTGGATAATCCCTGTGCCTACTTCACCTGGGGCTGCATTCTCGTCTGCCCACTGGAAGAACCCACACTGCTGCTCTCTGGGCTTGGAGCACGTGTGGAACTGGCGCCCCTTGTTGGGTCCGTCTTTCTGCACAGTCCGTGTGATGGCTGGCTGGCTGCACAGGCAGGAGGTCCCACCACCACCATCCCCTGGCCTGGCAAGTCCACCCAGGCGGCTCTCCGAACCCTGAGAGCTGCCAATGGGTCTCACTGTGGAGGAAGGAGGCCCTACTGTGTCTGCTGGGCTGCTGTCTGCCCATAGGAAGAAATTGCAGCTTCCCTGGCTGCACTTGTAGAACTGGCGGCCCTGGTTGGGGCCCTCTTTCCGAACGGTGAGCAGCAAGGCCTCCTGGCCACAGTTGCAGGTCACAGTGTTGCTTTCAGCAATGGCAGTGGGTGGTGGGAGAGCCCTTGGAGGTCCAGTCTGCCTACTGCTAGGAGGCTGGTGATGGTAAGGTTGGTTGCTGTCCATTCTGTTCAGGGACTGGCTGGCTTGCAAGTGGCTTGAGGGCTGGCTGGCTGGCTGGAGAGGTTGGGAGGGGCCTCGAGAAAATCTCAGGTCTAAGATCTCCCTCAGGGTCTCGTCACACCCGCCGATGCAGCCAATGATCTCCAGTGGCATGGATGGGGGAACGCTGCCTCGCTTGAACTTCAACTTCAACCTAGTGAGGCCAGAGATGAGGAAAACCATGAACACCCAGGTACAGAACTTTCCTCAGTCTACAGAAAGACGTCATTACCCTAGGCTTCCCCTTACCAGCCCTAGAGCCCTAGGAAGCCCAGACACATCTGAGCAGCCAAACATTCCCTAGTCACCCCAAAAGTGCAGAGTAGGAGGGCAACAAATGAGATCCAATAACTCTGCTTAACTGAAACACAGCCACCTAGAGGAGCTGATAGTGCTTTATACCAGCAGTTCTCAAAGTATGCTCCAGGGACTCTTTCCAGGTGAGGTCATAACTATTTCTACAGTAATGCTAAGAGCTATGTCTGTTTTGACCTCAAGGTTTTGCATGTGTACAGTATTTTCCAGAGGCGACAACATATGTAATAACTCTACAACCTGAGTGTAGAATCAGCTTGAGGATGTTAGACTTGCAAATATACAATGTCTTTTACTGGCTTTGGAAATAGTGAAACTGTGGGCCAGTACTTTTTTTGTTGGTAATTTTTTGATGACCTGTTCAATTCCTTCTTTTGCTATGGACCTGTTCAAGTTTTCCATATCAGTCTGTGTTAGTTTAGGTAAGTGGTGTGTTTCTAGAAATCTGTCCATTTCTTCCAGATTTGCAAATTTGTTGGAGTACAGGTCTTCATGTTGTTGCTGTTGGTATGTGCCATCAAGTTGGACCCGACTCATAGCGACCCCTCCTTGGGTTTCCAAGGCGGTATCACTATGGAAGTAGATTGCCCAACCTTCCTTCCGAGGAGTGGCTGGTGGGTTTGAACTGCCAGCCTTCTGGTTAGCAGTCAAGTGCCTTAGGCACTACGCTATCAGAGCTCCCGGCTTTGGAAAAAGGAATTTTAAAATCATAAAAAAAAGACTAGGCTTACTGGTTGGGTAGAGACTGGTGGAACCCCTGAGACAATGGCTGTTGATTACCCTTTGGAATTGTAACTGAACTCACTCCTGTGGCTCAATTTTCAAACATTAGGTCTACAAGGTGAACAATAACACTAAAGAGATACACACCCCTTAGAACCATCAATCATTCAAGATCAAAAGGCCAGCATTTGTCCAAGGACAAAGTTCAGAGGGAGGAAAAGTTAGAAGATAAGAAGAAATGGAAACGAGAAACATGGGGAAAAGTGGGAGATGTTACATTGAAGGGATTACAATCAATGACATGAAATAAAATGTGTGTGAACTGTTGAATGGAAAACTGTTTTGCTCTGTAAACTTCCACCCAAATTACAACAAAGTTTTTTAAAAAATAAACAGATATTTAAAAAGATGTCTCTGTTCTGGCACCTTAAAAGCTTGCAAGCAGTCATCTAGAGGTAACGATGGGTCTCTCCTCATCTGGAGGAAAGAATAATGAAGAAAACCAAAGTTTCATGGAAACAATTAGTCCAAGCAACTGGTACACCTTGTAATCTGCAGCCCATATGGTGATGAGACCAGAAGAACTAGATGATGTCCAGCTACCACAGTCAACCACTCAGAGGGGGATCTATGGAGGAAATCCTGGATAGAGAGGGAAAACAATGTGGAACAAAACTCAAAATCATTTTGGGGTGGGGGGGAAATGGACCAGGTTTGCTTGTCTGAAAGAACCTGGTAGAACCACTGAGACTATGCCCCTTGGCTGCTCTTCAGGTCTGGAATTGAACCCACAACTGTGGTTTCCAGCCAAACGAAAGACAGGCACGAGTTGAACATTTACCTGAGCTAGATACACGCCTTGAAGAGAATGATCATGGGAGAAAGAAGAGCTGTTTACGCACAGGGAGACAGCTCAGGGGGGAGGAGTGCATGGAGGGATGGACACAGGGAAGAGGTAACTATCAGGAGGAAATGGGAAGGGAGTTGTTGCATTGGGGTAAATTGTAGTCAATCTTATAAAACAAAGTGTATGTGAACTGCTGTATGGAAAGTGAATTTGCTCTGTAAATTTTCACCCAAATCACAATAATCAATCAATCAATTAAAAAAAATCTGTTTTAATTTCTACTATGATAAATATTGATAGACATAACCCACAACAAAAGCCCCTTTGGAAGAGAGTTCTGGTAAGATGGAAGAATAGGAAGAAAGATTGCACAGATGCTCTTCAACAAAGAAAAGGGGAACCAATTAACACAGATACAGAAGATAATCCTGGACCTGAGAGCCCTGAAGGGAGGGATATAGAAGTAGACTAAGCTCCAACTAGCAGAAGAATTTGCATGAAAACACCAAAAAAGGAGGCATATGGGGCTGCGGTCTGGTAGTGATCTTGACAGCACAGACAGCTTGGATATTGTCGAGTTGTGGTAGGATCTAAGAATTAACCTAAAAATCGGCCCTGTTAACCAGTGACAACACGGAGAACTGCTCTGGGCAATAAAAGGGGATACAGTGAAGAGGAAGGCGGGCTGGGCTGTGGACTTTTCTCTGTCCGGAGGGCGCAGCTACTTTGAATGTTTATAAGCAGCTTGACCATTTTGGATATTTAAAGTGACAATGTTCTCCCAGATTCCAGGGATTTAAGAACAGGGCCAACTTGCCAGGAACCCCAAGGACATTCCAGACCCGGAAGACTGGAAAGGTGAGACATTCCCGTTGTTACTCTTATACCCCACACCCTTTTGGTGAATGGAGGTGCAGCCATCCCTCACTCCCACTCACTTTCTGGGCTGGCAGGAATTCCAAACCAGTCTGTGTGCTCGGACAGAGCCTGGGTGCCCGGCCCTGATACTTTTTTTTCTGTTTTCTGTTTTTCAGTTTGTTTGTTTTTGTCTGTTTTAAAACTACCATTATTATTATTACTTTTGTCCTTTTTACTATTAATCTTTATTCTTCCCCTCCTAGGTTTTGGTTTTCAGGTTTTTTTCCTTTTCCTGTCCTGGCTGCAATTTTTTCTTTTTTCTTTCTCATGGTTCCTTGCTTTTCTTTTTGCGTTTTTCCAATTTTTTTCTTAATTTCTCTCCTTCTCTATCTTTTTTTCTCTTATTGCCCTCTCCCCAGATATTGCAGTTTTTTTCCCCTTCTCCTCTTCTTTCTTTTTTTGGTTACTGTTCCTGTGTGATTACACAGTGTGTTTTTTGTCCATTTGCTTTTACTTTTTTGATGGTTATTCAATTGTTATTTTTGTCTGAGTGGGAGACAGAAACAGTCCCTACATGACACAACTACACCCACACTTCCTGCAGCTTCACTTACTGAGTGAAAGTCACCATCTCCTTCTTCATAAATGGGCCTACGATAACCCACCATGAAGAAGAGCCTGACTCACCCTTAGCTGCTGTTCACAAACAGTTAATGGAGATGTAAATACAACAATGTCACAATGTCTCGGAGACAACAGATCATCACAGTCCACACAAAGAAGCAAGATAAAGTGGTAGAATCAACAGAGCAGGATACAGACCCAGAACACATCCCTGAGGAAGAAACAGCATTGGAACTCCCTGATAAGGCATTCAAAAGTATTATATTTAGCTATTTTCCAAGGATTGAGAGACAGATCAAGGAAAACACTACAAGAATTTTGGAAGAAAATACAAGAATGAAATGACAAAAATAAATAAAAAATTAGAAGTGATTCTAAATCTACAGATAAGAAATCCAGAAGACTGGGGACTTCAGGTAAGATGGCGGAATAGGGAGAAAGAGTGCAAAGACCCTCTTCAACAAAGACAAGGGAAACCAATTAACACAGACAAAAGATGATCCCCTGAGCCTTGAAGGGAAGGATATAGAAGTGGACTAAACCCCAACTAGCAGAAGAATTTTCATGAAAATACCAAAAAAGGAGACATACAGAGCTGCGGTGTGCCAGCAATCCTGACCAAGCCTGACAGCACAGACAGCTTGGAGATTTCCAAGTGGTGGTAGGACCTAAGAATTAACCTAAAAATCAGCCCTGCTAGCCAGGAACTGCATAGAGGACTGCTCTGGTGGCTGGGGAATAAAACATGAAGCACCAGTGAAGAGAAAGGTGGGCTGAGCTGAGGACTTTTGCCTGTCTGGAGGACGCCGCCATTTTGAATGTTTACAGCAGCTTGAACATTTTGGATATTTAAAGAGACAGCACTCTCCGAGATTCCAGGGGCTTAAGAACAGGTTCTGCTTGCCGATAACCCCAAGAACACTCTTGATCTGGATGACTGAAAAGGTGCGACATTCCCTTTCTTACTCTTATACCCCATACCCCTTGGTGAATGGAGGTGCGGACATCCCCCACTCCCACCCACCTTCTGGGCCCACAGAAACTCTACTCCAGTCTGTGTGCTCAGGCAGAGCCTGGGTGCCATGCCCTCCCCTCCCCCAACTTTTTTATTTTTTTTTTCTGCTTTTTGGTTTACTTATATTTGTCTGTTTTAAAATTACTACTATTATTCATACATTTGTCCTTTTTACTACTATTCTTTATTCTTCCTCTCCCAAGTCCTAGTTTTCAGCTCTTTTTCTTTACCTTGTTAATGCTTGCAATATTTTTTCCTTTTTTTTTTTCTCGTGGTTAACCCTGTTCCTTGTTTTTCTTTTTGCATTTTTCCCATTTTTTTCCTCATTATTCTCCTTCTCTACCTTTTTTCTCTTATTGCCCTATACCCAGATATTGCAGGTTTTCTTGTTTTTTTCTTCTTCTTTTTCCCTTTTTTGGTTACTGTTCCTGAGTGATTACAAGGTGTATTTTTTGTCCATGTGCTTTTAAGTTTTTTGATGGTTATTCAGTTGTAATCTTTGTCTAATTGAGTGGGAGACAGTAACAGTCTTCATAAGACACAATTACACCCACACCTCTTGCAACATCACTTACTGACCAAGAGCCACGACCTCCTTCTCCATCAACGGACCAATGATAAAAAATCACCAAGAAGACCCTGAATCACCCTTGGCTGCTCTTCACAAGCAGTTAACAGAGATCTTAATAGAACAATGCCAGGATATCTTGGAGACAACAGACTATCAATGTCCACACAAAGAAGCAAGATAAAATGGTAGAAACAAGGGAAC